ATGGATGGATGGGTGGATTGATGGATGGGTGAGTGACCGGATGCCCCACAGGGGACATCGTATTGGAGACAGTGACGGCTACTCGACGCTCTTCCGATGCTAATCAGATCATTACTTGTGGCCACTCAGCGATGAGGCCGATCTTTCTCCTACATGCAGGTCCTTTCAGCTTGTGTGCAGTTTCTAAGCACGTGACTTCACTGTGACACTTGCAGCTCTCCCAGTAAGAGGACCTGGAGCCCAGCACAGCACATGTAGGGTGTTTACAGGCAGATGAGGGTTTTGCTCATCCTGCCAAATCCACGTGGGACTTGGCCTCGAATGAGTCTGTGTGTTTTGCTTTGGAAGCCTGAGTTGCTGTGTGAATCTCAACATACAACTGTATTTGCCTGTGCTTTCTCTTGGAGTGTGCACAATCTCAACATCCGAGAATTTCCCATGAAAAAAACAAAACATTTCTTTTTTTTATCTTTTTGAGACAGGGTCTCTCTATGCAGCGCAGGCTGGCCCTGAGCCCACTATGCAGCCCAGGCTGGTCCGAAACTCACAGGGATCCTCCTGCCTCAGCCTCCCGAGTGCTGGGATGACAGGCGTCGGCCACCCCGCCTGGCCCCAAGCATTTGTTTCCTGTCCAGATTTTTAGACACGGTTTAAGTTCTGTTTCTTTTTTTTTCTAACATAAGGTTTAAAGAGGTGTGCAGCGTGCAGATGCCTCTAGTCTCGTTAGCTGAGGCCCAGGCACGGACCTGGCCCCAGGGAGTTAATTAGCCAATGCTCCCCCTCTGCCCGGAGTCACACGTCCGCTCACAAATCTATTTATTCTAAGTGGCTCTTAAAATATTCAGCGTGATGGAACGGGAGGCCGGGTGAGTCAAGGGCGTCCATTAGGCCGCGACCGCTGAACGCACTGTATCTGCATTAATTTACTGATGGCAAGGCAGAGGTCAGTGGGTCAGTAACCTGGACGGTGACCCCTCAATAGATGTCCAGAGCGTGGTCGTCTGTGTCCTCACCCAGCTTAGTCACCATTTAACTCCCGGCTCCTCCCCAAGGTCACAGTGACCGGGAAAGGTCACGGTTTGCAGTCCACTGGGGACATGGCAAGGGCCAGGATGGCACAGCTGAAGACCCTGAGGACAGAGGACCCCGAGCTGCTGGGAGAGCGGCCGGGAGGCTGGATGGGCGTGTTTGAAGCAGGAGAGGACACTGCTTCTCCCCTGGGAAGTTGCTGTCCTGTGTCTCCCTACCTACCTGCACGGGGCCAGCATGACACTGTCATGGAGTATGGTTTTACTACAGCAAGAGACAGTGAACAAAGACACAGCGTGAGAGCTTTGCTTAAACATCCAGTTAAGGTTGTGCTTATGAAGTTTGCCTGTTGGGATTTGATCTCACATGCGTCCCGCAGACCTGTGTGCTGCAGGGCTGCATTGTCCGCCATGATGGGCTTGAGATGTGCCTGGGCCTTTAAGAGGCAGGGCTTAGCAGGAGGAAGTAGCCTGCTGGGGGCGGGGCTTGGGAGGGGCGGGGCTTTAGGAGGAAGTGAGCTCCATTGGGGCGGGGCTTAGGGGAGGAAGTATGTGCCATTGGGGGCGGGGCTTAGGGGAGGGAGTGCGTTCCATTGGGGGCGGGGCTTAGCGGGAGGATTGTGTGAGACTGGGGGCGGTGCTTAGTGCGAAGAAGTGAGCTCCATTGGTGGGGCTTAGCGGGTGGAAGTGTATTCCACTGGGGGTGGAGCTTAGTGGAGGAAGTGAGTTCATTGGGTGGGACTTGGTGGGATGAATGAGTGTTTTGGGGGTGGAGCTTAGTGGGGGGAGGTGAGTTACTGGGGGCGGGGCTTAGTGGTAGTGAATGAGTGATTGGGGGCGGGCCAATGGGATTGTGGGAATGCATTGGGCGGGGCTTAGCGGGAGGGCATTAGGCCTTTGGGGGCGTGGTTTCGGGAACCATGCTCAATCTCTGGACTCTGCCCTGTGGCCACCTTACGCGTGCACCTAATATACTACACTGTGCTGTTTCTGTGTCATCAAGATCCAAAGGGTCAGAATCAAGCAGCGTGGATTGCAGCCTCTAAAACCATGAAGCAAAACACAACTTCCCTCCTCCCACGCTGTGTCTTTTTAAAGTATTTTGTCCCAGTTCTGGGTCACGGGGCCGAATGGCCATGGATGAGCTCCGTGCTGAGTAACAGAAGGTGTTTCCCAGCTCCGGGCCCCAGCTGTGTTCACCTGGTCCGGGCTGGCTCTGTGGACTTCCCTGGATCTCGGTCTGATGGCACAGTGCCTTTCTGTGGGTGGTGTTCTAACTGTGGATGTGGCCCCCTCACACTGGGGCCCCCAGAGAGTCCCCTTGCTCCCCAGAACGCAGAGAGCAGACTGCATTTCTGCCATGCATGACCCCTGGCGTCCACCCTCGTCCCCGTGGGGACACGGCCATCCGCGTGCCATCCATGTGTCACTGTGCTGCAGGGAGAGGTCAGGATGCCACAAGGACCCAGAGAGCGGTTTCAAAAATATTTTATTTTCTGGAGTAGCCGTGATGTCTCTGCCCTGTCCGCCGAGGAGGCAGAAGCAATGACGCCCTCGAGGCTTTGAAGTTCACACCTGCAGGACAGGACGATGGCAGCGTGGAGGACCACTGTAGAAAGGCTCACCGGGACACGGACGGAGAGGACGAGGTGTGGGTGCAGCTGGCTGCCGCGACCGGGACGCTCTCGGGGACGTGGTGCCCCTCCACGAGGAGCCTGTCTCCATTCTGCTGTGACCCGGGCAGAGGACAGCACAGTCCAGGGTCCTGGGTGGCCGGGTCGTCTAAGTGCCTTATGCATTGGCTCAGGTACCAGAATGCTAGGTTTGCTGCTAGAATTCCCTAGAAGTGTGGGTGCACGGGCAGAGTCCCTAGGCTGCATTTTACAGGGCGGTCCCTTCGTCCAGTCCAGACGTGGTCTTTCCCGATGGCGACAGACGGATACAAAGACAAGACGTTTGGGGGCTAACGCAGCACAGGGGGACGCAGGGATTCCCTCGGGGGTCTCCCGGTGAGCAGCTGGCCCTGGAGGCACAAGGAAGCAGGAAAGCACTGGGCATCGCTGCTGTGGGCGCACGGTGCACATCACATCCGAGACCAGGTGGGCAGCTCCCCGGTGGCACCCGCCTTGGCGATGGCATTGGGTTTTTTCTTTTTTGGTACCAGGGATCAAACTCACGACCTTGCACTTGCCAGGCAGGTGCTTATGCCACTGAGCTAAATGCCTGGGCCCAGGCGATGGCATTGTTAGAGATGCTGGTCGTCTGGACGGTCCCGCTGGCCACGGAGGGGTGACGCGCTCCCTGGCCTGACCGTGGGACCGTCGGGTGTTGTCACTACGCACAAGGACGAGACCGATGAGGTCACAGCAGGAGGAGCCAGGCAGCTTGGCGGGACGGCTGGATGCGGCCCAGGGGCGGGTGGAGGTCACGGTCCCCAGATGGCCCCCCATGGGAGCTGCCCACGAGTCCCGGGCTTCCGGTCATGGCTTGGCAAGATGGGTGAAGGGGGAGACGGCCTGGATCCCCGGCCAGTGACCCCGTCCGTCCTCTCCCGCGCGGTGCAGCCCGGCTGGCATGCTGCTGGAGAGTCTCCAGAGAAGGGGTGAGCCTCCCGCCGGGGTCACGGCCCGCCCGGGGTCAGGGGGAGGCATCCTCTCCTGATGCCCTGGACTGACCCCCTGCGCAGGACGACAGGAGGTTTCGCAGCCATCCGAGTTCTCCGCCTCTTCAGAGGCCCTAAGACATGGGAGAGAAACAAAGCAGGCCTCAGTGTTTCAGTGCTATTTTCTATTTTTTATTTTTTCCTTTTTATCGGTACCGGGGATCGAACTCACGACTGCCTGCTTGCAAGGCAGGCGCTTACGCCGCTGAGCTAAACCTCCAGCCCCGGGAAGTGGGTGCACTGGGTGCCCGAGCACATTGAGTTCACACACTAGGACTCGAGGCTCCCTGCAGAAATGGCCCCGCATGGCGCTCACCTTTGGATCTCCCGCGGCCCTGCCAGGGCCGTGCACTGACTCAGTCTGTATTGGCAGGTGCTGGAACCTTTAAAAGATGGTGTCTAGCGAGGAGGAGTCACGTCATCGGGGGCGTGGCCTAGGATGTTGGGGGCGTGACCCGACCGGAAGTTACGTTTTAGGGGCGTGGCCTAGGGAAGTCACGTTATGGGGGCGTGGCTTTGGAGGAAGTTATGTTATTGGGGATGTGGCCTGAGAGAAAGTCATGTTGTTGGGGGCGTGGCCCGGGAGGAAGTTGTGCATTAGGGGCGTGGTCTGATGAAATTATGTTATTGGGAGGGTGACTTGGAAGTTATGTTATTGGGGGCGTGGCCTGTGCAGAAGCTGCGCTGTTGAGGGCGTGGCCCGGGAGGAAGCTGTGTTAGGGGCGTGGCCTGATGAAATTATGCTATTGGGGCGTGACTTGGGAGGAAGTTATGTTATTGGGGGCGTGGTTTGGGAGGAAAACGTGTTGTTGGGGAGTGGCTTGGGAGAAGTTATATTAGGGGCGTAGCCTGCGATGAAATTGGTTTGTTGGGGGCGTGGCCTGGGCTGCGCTCCTGCTCATTCTGTCCGCCTCCTGACCACGAGGAGTGATTCTGTCCACCGCACGCTCTTGCCAATACTAATTATCATTATTTTTATTAGTCGTTTTATTGAGATGCCACCCAGGCGGCCCAGCACCAGGAGCAACGGAGCCAACAGACTATAAATGGAACCCGGTGAAGCCATGAGCCAAGGACCGCTGTCCTGGAAAGCTCTCCTGTCCAGTATCTGCTCACAGCCTTGGAAACCACCTCGCACATCCAGCACCGGGGTCAGAAGCCGCAGGACGGGACGTGGCCGGGCATGGCGGCGCTAAGTCAAGTTCATCCATTCATTAAAAAACGCGGGTGCTGTGTGCCCTGGAGGAGCCACCCCGGGGCGGTGCTCAGCATGGAGCCCACAAGGAGAAGGAGGCGGAGCAGGCCCAGACCAGCAGCAGCAGGAGGACGAGGAGGAGCAGGAGAGGAAACGGAGGATGAGATGCAGGAGGATGAGATGCAGGAGGATGAGATGCAGGAGGAGGAGAGCATGTGGGCCGAGAAGAGGAAGGACTGGGGTGCCCAGCGCCTGCCCGGGGCGCCAGCCCGAGCAGGAGACCTGCCAACCCGGACGGGGCTGGGGAGGGAGCCCCCTGCGGGCGCTGGGCCGCTCAGTCTGGAGCCATTCCAAGGGGACAGGAAAATCAAATTGGATCGTAACTCCGAGTGCAAAAATCAATATGCATTTAATGAAACGGCAGAAGCCATGAGTAAGTGACGGCAGGGCCAGGACCATCGCGTGCACTGCGGGATGCCTGCCTGCCTGCAGCGGAGGCTGTGCCTCCTCCTCCCCGAGGGCCGGCTTCCTGCCCGAGGCCAGGCCGGGAATCCACCAGGCCTTGCTTCTGCGGATCAGAAAGGCCTGCCCCAGGGTGAGGGATGGCGGGGTGCAGGGCCGGCTCCGAGGTCTCCATGCACATCCCGTGGATTCATGACACCCGCCCGGAGAGTCCCCGCATGGGGCCGTGCTGGCCAAGTCCCTGACCTGTCCTGCACGCTCTCACGGTCACAAAGAGAGAACGGATCAGAAAAGGTTCTGACCAGGAAACGCACAGGGAAACCTGACCGAATGATGCCTGAGGAACCCGGGGACAGACGGGGGACTGTGATGAGCAGATTACTGGGGGGCTGTGACCTCCATCTCTAAGGTCCCTGCTCCTCCCTTCTCTCCCTGCTTCCCGGCCACCATGATGGGAGCGTCTCTCCTCCCCACACCGTCCACCATGATGCTCCCCTTGGAGCAGCCGGCCATGGACTGCACCCTCTGCACCCCTGAGCCACACTGAGCTCCCCCTTTAAGCTGTGTTCTGGTCCCCGGCTCCTCCCTTCTCTCTCTGCTTCCCGGCCACCATGATGGGAGCGTCTCTCCTCCCCACACCGTCCACCATGATGCTCCCGCCTTGGAGCAGCCGGCCATGGACTGCACCCTCTGCACCCCTGAGCCACACTGAGCTCCCTCTTTAAGCTGTGTTCTGGTCCCCGGCTCCTCCCTTCTCTCCCTGCTTCCCGGCCACCATGACGGGAGCATCTCTCCTCCCCACACCGTCCACCATGATGCTCCCGCCCTGGAGCAGCCGACCATGGACTGCACCCTCTGCACCCCTGAGCCACACTGAGCTCCCTCTTTAAGCTGTGTTCTGGTCCCCGGCTCCCCCCTTCTCTCCCTGCTTCCCGGCCACCATGATGGGAGCGTCTCTCCTCCCCACACCGTCCACCATGATGCTCCCGCCTTGGAGCAGCCGGCCATGGACTGCACCCTCTGCACCCCTGAGCCACACTGAGCTCCCCCTTTAAGCTGTGTTCTGGTCCCCAGCTCCTCCCTTCTCTCCCTGCTTCCCGGCCACCATGATGGGAGCGTCTCTCCTCCCCACACCGTCCACCATGATGCTCCTGCCTTGGAGCAGCCGGCCATGGACTGCACCCTCTGCACCCCTGAGCCACACTGAGCTCCCTCTTTAAGCTGTGTTCTGGTCCCCGGCTCCTCCCTTCTCTCCCTGCTTCCCGGCCACCATGACGGGAGCGTCTCTCCTCCCCACACCGTCCACCATGATGCTCCCGCCTTGGAGCAGCCGGCCATGGACTGCACCCTCTGCACCCCTGAGCCACACTGAACCCCCCTCTGTAAGCTGTGTTCTTGTCACTACAGGTGTGCGGAGTGCTGAGTGACCTGGGGACCCAGAAGGTCCACTGGGCACGGTGGCATATGCCTGACACATTCCACATTCAGGGAGGCTGAGGCAGGACGATCTTGAGTGGAAGCCAGCCCAGGCGGGAGCCTGTCTAGCAGGGTCAGCAGAGGCAGGGAGGACACGGTGACCTTGCTCAGAGGCCAGAGGAGGCCACAGGTGTGGGGGCTCTAGGCTGGATCCCGACCCCCAGGTTTCCCTCTTGCAAAGCCCGGTGGCCTGGGTGCTCTCAGGCTGCCTCAGACCTCACAACCAGAACTATAACCGCAGAAACCTAAGCACAAGCTGGGCCACCGGCAGAAGCTGGGCCTGCCTCCCATGCCAGCTGGGGAGGCCGAGGCAGGAGGATCTCCGTGACTCCGAGGCCAGCCCGGGCTGCCTATCGAGACCCTGTCTCAAGACAGACAAGCAAACAGATGCTAAAGCTCTCCTTCCCTCCTTCCTTGCTTGCTGGGTCTCAGTGTGTGGTGACCCCGGCCTCGAGCTCACAGCGACCCTCCTGCCTCAGCCTCCCACGTGCTGAGCTGACCGCTGCGCACCACCACGCCTGGCACCAGTTGTGTTTCCGAGGTACGGGGAACCCAGCCCGGGACCTTTGCTCTGAGCACCAGCCACAGACGTTTTCTGGCTGGGTTTGCTTAGTTTTGTTCTGTGGGAGACGCTTCTCCCCTGGCTGGGCTGCAGCTGGAGACCCTCCTGCCTCAGCCTCCCGGAGCGCGGGGATGACCGGCGTGCGCCGGGCACTGGATTTCTTCACCCGGTCTTGTGCAGGGGAAGGGGAGGGGAGGGAGATGGTGGGGGGAGTTCTCAATGGTGCTCGGGGTTGGGGGGCCTTCAACCCCTGAAAGGGAGCTTCCTGCCAAGCACCTTTCTGTGAAGCCTTTTATTTAGAGCCGGGGGCGGTGAGACGTTCACCATCAGAACCGGCTGCTGGGAGGCTGTCTGTGATCACTGACTGACTCACTGACTACATCAAGCTATCTGTGACCCTTGATGGGCTCCAAAGACCCCCAAATAGGCACTGACCAGAGCAGAGACAGCTCCAAAGTCCAGAGACAGACAAATACATAAGGAAAGGCTCAAGAGCAGTGGCCACCAAGGAAAGGCAGAGTACAACCCGCCAGGGGCGGGTCGAGCCCCGGCTGCAGAGCGTGCACCCCACAGCCACAGTGGAGATCGCTGAGAGAGACCTCAAAAAGCCGAACTAGCAACCCCGCTGCACCTGTGTCCGCGCCGTGGAGTACTACACAGCCATGAAGATGGACAGGCTTGAGTCTTGTATAGAAAACCAAACGCACCCCGACACCAGGATGTGACGTGAAATAAATGAGACCCGGGAGCTTCAATATGACACACTGCTCTTCTGTGAGATCCTAAAGTGTAAATTAAAAGGCAAAGGCCAGCCTGGGCGCCATAAGACCCTGTCTCAATAAAATGACTAATAAAAATAATGATAATTAGTATTGAGACTGCCTTCCCCGCAAAGGGCTCCAAGGCTCCAGCGTGCAGGGTGCCGCAGAGCTCAGGGTTAAATGTAGCAGACTGTAAGAGCGTCCCGCCTCAGCCTCAGCAGGGCGTGGTGTGCGGGCTCCACGGGGACAAACGATGCCGCCCCAAAGCGGCCCGGGGAGATGCCACCCGGGCACAGAGACCGAGAGGGTCCCGGGCGGGGGCCGAGCCCCGCCCTTCCCACCCCTCCGTGGGGGTGTCCCGTGCCCCTGCCTCGGCGCTGACCGGCTGTGTGACCGACCCCGAGGTCCCGACGGGGGCCCAGCCCTGCCCCGGCGCTCTGGGGTCTCGGGGGGCAGACGGAGCCGCGGGGGGGGGGAGGCAGAGCCCGCGGTCATCCCGGGGCCAGGGGTCGGGGTGTCCACAGGCCTGTGGGTCCCTCCCTGCGTCCGTCCGGCCGTCCGTCCTGTGCCAGTCAAGGTCTCTGAGTTTACCTGACTGCCGTCCAGCCATCCGTGTGTCTGTCTGTCTATCCCCCCCTATCATCTGTCTGTCTGTCTGTCTTTCTATTTATCCATCTATCTATCTGTATGTGCCCATGTGTCTGTCTGTCTCTCTGTATCTATGTCTCTATTTATCTGTGTGTCTATATATCTCTCTGTATCTGTCTATCTGTCTGTGTGTCCCTCTGTCTGTATCTATCCCCGTGTCTGTCTGTCCGTCTCTTTGCTCTATTCCTGTGTCTGTCTGTCTGTCTCTCTGTCTGTCTGTCTCTCTGTTTCTGTCTGTCTGTCTGTCTGTCTGTCTGTCTCTCCCCATGACCGCCTCCTGTCTAACCTTCCTGCCCGGCTCTCGCTGTCCGTCTGTCCCTGCCTGTCTGCCCGTCTCCCCGTCCTGGGGTCACCGGCCCAGGCAAGGCCACGCACCCCTGGGCTCCGTGTCCCTGTGGGTGGCCCCGTCCCCCGCGCACCACGGAGAGGGGTCCGCGTCTCCACCTGGGACCGCACCCCGAGTCCTCCCTGCTCCCCGGGAAGCCAGCGCTGAGCTCAGGGGTGGCCGCCTCCCCTCGCGGCCCTGGGGAGCCCTCATCTGCCCCAGAACGCGTGCAAAGCCGGGCACGGCGGTGGCACCCCGGTCACCCCAGCTCGGGGAGGCTGAGGCAGGAGGGTCTGCAGGCGTCGGCCTGGCCCGACAGATGAGCGGCACCCCAGCGGGCCCCGAGGTGCGGCCGGCCTGTCCTGCGCCGCTGTGGGCTTCACTGCCGGGCTTGCTGGGGCGACGGTGAGGGTCAGGCCGCTTTCGGGGTCCCCGGGGCGCTCAGGAGACACACGCAGGCCTCACCCTGCGAGAACAGCCCCCCAAACGCCTTTCCACGCGGTGCCCCCGGCCACAGTGTGGTCTCTCCACCCTCCCCTGCGCGTGACCCCAGGCTTCCCGGGGCTCCCCCGGGGCTCCCGGCCCCCCACAGCTGAGCCCCCCACGGCTGAGCCCCCCACGGCTGAGCCCCCCACGGCTGAGCCCCCCACAGCGGAGCCCCCCACAGCGGAGCCCCCCACAGCTGAGCCCCCCACAGCTGAGCCCCCCACGGCTGAGCCCCCCACAGCGGAGCCCCCCACAGCGGAGCCCCCCACAGCTGAGCCCCCACAGCGGAGCCCCCCACGGCTGAGCCCCCCACAGCTGAGCCCCCCACGGCTGAGCCCCCCACAGCGGAGCCCCCCACAGCGGAGCCCCCCACAGCTGAGCCCCCCACAGCGGAGCCCCCACGGCTGAGCCCCCCACAGCTGAGCCCCCCACAGCTGAGCCCCCCACGGCTGAGCCCCCCACAGCGGAGCCCCCCACAGCTGAGCCCCCCACGGCTGAGCCCCCCACAGCGGAGCCCCCCACAGCGGAGCCCCCCACAGCTGAGCCCCCCACAGCGGAGCCCCCACGGCTGAGCCCCCCACGGCTGAGCCCCCCACGGCCGCGTCTCCCGGTTCCCGCTGCGGACTCCGATGTGTCCTGCAGTCTGTGCTCTAACCCTCAGAGGGGTGCCAGGCGGCCCCCCCGTGCGCCTGCGGCCTGGGGTACAGCCGAGTCGGGGAGCCCTGGCCTGCCCGGAGCCACTCGGACGGCCCGTCCTCCTGCTGCTCTGTGTGTCTGTCTGCGTGTCTGTGTGTCTGTCTGTGTGTTTGTCTGTGTGTCTGTGTGTCTGTCTGTGTGTCTGTCTGTGTGTCTGTCTGTGTGTCTGTGTGTCTGTGTGTGTGTCTGTCTATGTATCTCTGTCTGTGTGTCTGTGTGTCTGTCTGTGTGTCTGTGTGTCTGTCTGTCTGTGTCTGTCTGTGTATCTGTGTGTCTGACTGTGTGTTTGGCTGTGTGTCTGTGTCTGTCTGTGTGTCTGTCTGTGTGTCTGTCTGTGTGTCTGTGTCTGTCTGTGTATCTGTGTCTGTCTGTGTGTCTGTGTGTCTGTCTGTCTGTGTCTGTCTGTGTATCTGTGTGTCTGACTGTGTGTTTGGCTGTGTGTCTGTCTGTGTCTGTCTGTGTGTCTGTGTGTCTGTCTGTGTGTGTCTGTCTGTGTGTCTGTGTCTGTCTGTGTATCTGTGTGTCTGTCTGTGTGTCTGTCTGTCTGTGTCTGTCTGTGTATCTGTGTGTCTGTCTGTGTGTTTGGCTGTGTGTCTGTCTGTGTGTGTCTGTGTGTCTGTCTGTCTGTGTGTCTGTCTGTGTGTCTGTCTGTCTGTGTCTGTCTGTGTATCTGTCTGTGTGTGTGTGTCTGTCTGTGTGTCTGTCTGTCCTAATTACCCTGCAACCTGCTGATGCGGCAGCCTGCAGGGTCCAAGCTGTGGCTTTTCCTGTGCAGTCTATCTGTCTGTCCTCCCGCAGTCTGTCTGTGTGTCCCTGTGGCTGCCCCCCCCCCCCGTGTGTCCCCCGCTGTGTGCGCAGCGCTCACGCCCCTTCCTTCCCCCCTCCCCCCTCCCCCCTCCCTCATCCCCCTCCCCCCTCCTCCCCCCTCCCTCATCCCCCTCCTCCCTCCTCCCCCCTCCCTCCTCCCCCTCCCTCCTCCCCCTCCCTCCTCCCCCCTCCCCTCCCCCTCCTCCCTCCTCCCCCCTCCCCCCTCCCTCCTCCCTCTTCAGCTCCAGCTCGGGCTCCGCATGGTGGCCGCCTGGCGGCTGGCGCTCATTCCGGTCACGTCCACCGTCCACCTCCGTCTCCTGCGGGAAGGCCGGGCGGGCGGGCGGGCGGAGGAAACGCAGCGCGACTCCCTCGGCCGATGGGGCGCTGGGGGGGTGCCGGGGGGGGGGGCAAGGCCCTGCACCCCAACCTCCCCCTGCGCTGCTGGGGTCCCCCCTCCCCGGGCCTGGGTGCGTTCAGTTTCGGGGGGCTGCGTGGCTCGGGGCCCGCGGTGTCCGCGCTGGGGTGCCGGGTCCGGGGAGCCCCGCGGGGCGCACGGCGTCTCCCGCTCCTGCAGCCCGCGCCGACCCCAGGGCCTTTGCCCACCTGCGGCTCGGGGCGCCGCGGCGCCCGCTTCCGTCCCCGCCGGTGCCCAGGAGCTGTGGGGCGCCTGAGCTCCCCCGCCCGGGCCGCGTGGTCCCCGAAGAAGTTGCGGCTGCCACCCCACCCCAGCGCGCGCCCCGTACCCCTCAGTCCCCAGCACACCCCGCCCCACACCCGGACACTCACCGCCGCGGCGTCCCCGGCGCAGCCCTGAAGGTCGCAGCCCAACGCGGGTGCAGAGGGGCGCGCGGCCGGAACTGGGGGTGCAGGGGGTTCCGGGGGTTCCGGGGGGTCCGGGGCCGCGGGGGGAGGCGGGGCGGGGACGGGGGACCCCGGTTCCTCCGCCTGCTGCGCCCGGCGGGGGTCCCCATGGCGCCCCGGGAAGTGGGGTGCGCGGGGCGCGCGGGGCGCGGGGGGCTCAGAGCCCGTGGTCGCAGTCCACGTCGCGGCAGATGTACCAGAGGATCACGTAGAGGATGAGCAGGATGGCGAAGATGAAGAGCGCGACCAGCAGCGCTTTGCTCACCGGGGAGATGAGCGCCTGCATGGCCCCGGGGCGCGCCGAGGAGCGGGGGGCGCGCACCAGCGGCAGCCGGGGACCCCGCGCCCCGACCCCGCGCCCGCCGGGCGAGGCCGCCGCAGACCTCCGAGCTGCCGGCTCCGCGCTGCGCTGCGCTGCCGCCGACTCCAGGACGCGGGGCCGCGCGGGGCTCCGGCCGGCGGGCGCGCAGACTCGGGGTCCCCCCTCGCTCGCTCGCTCGCTCGTGCGCCGGGGCGCCCCCCGCCAGGCGGGAGCTCGGACCCGGGTCCCCGCGGGGTGCTCAGGGCCGCCGCCGCCTCATCTCCCCCGCGGGCCGGGGCGCGCTCGGGGCGCAGTGGGGCGCAGTGGGGCGCGCGCCTCCAAGGGGACCCCGAACCCCGGCCGAGCTCGCGGTGCCTCCGGACGCGCACGGGGCGCTCCGGGCTGCGGCGTCTGCGGAGCTCGATGCGGGGTTCGCTCCCGGGGTGCAGGTGGGGGGCGGGTCCCAGGGGACCCCGGGGTCCCCCCAAGCTCCGTGCGCCTCGGGCGGGCTCCCCGGGCCCGGCGGCTCCGGGCTGCGCTGGGGGGACCCGGGCAAGGAGCGGGGCGCGCGGAGATGCTGCGGGGGCGGGACGCGGAGCTGGGGAGGAGGACGAGGGGGAGGACGGGGAGGAGGACGAGGGGGAGGACGGGGGAGGACGGACAGGAGGACGGGGGAGGACGGACAGGAGGACGGGGGAGGACGGACAGGAGGACAGGGAGGAGGACGAGGGGGAGGACGGGGAGGAGGACGAGGGGGAGGACGGGGGAGGACGGACAGGAGGACGGGGGAGGACGGACAGGAGGACGGGGGAGGACGGACAGGAGGACAGGGAGGAGGACGAGGGGGAGGACGGGGAGGAGGACGAGGGGGAGGACGGGGAGGAGGACGAGGGGGAGGACGGAGAGGAGGACGGAGAGGGGGAGGATGGGGAGGAGGACGGGGAGGAGGACAAGGGGGAGGACGAGGGGGAGGACGAGGAGGAGGACGAGGAGGAGGACGAGGGGGAGGACGGAGAGGAGGGCGAGGAGGGGAAGGACGAGGTGGAGGACGGGGAGGAGGACGAGGGGGAGGACGGGGAGCAGGACGGAGAGGAGGACGAGGGGGAGGACCGAGAGGAGGACGAGGAGGGGAAGGACGAGGTGGAGGACGGGGAGGAGGACGAGGGGGAGGACGGGGAGCAGGACGGAGAGGAGGACGAGGGGGAGGACCGAGAGGAGGACGAGGAGGGGAAGGACGAGGTGGAGGACGGGGAGGAGGACGAGGGGGAGGACGGGGAGCAGGACGGAGAGGAGGACGAGGGGGAGGACCGAGAGGAGGACGAGGAGGGGAAGGACGAGGTGGAGGATGGGGAGGAGGACGAGGGGGAGGACGGGGAGGATGGACAGGAGGACGAGGGGGAGGACGGGGAGGATGGACAGGAGGACGAGGGGGAGGATGGGGAGGATGGACAGGAGGACGAGGGGGAGGATGGGGAGGACGGAGAGCTGGGAGCTGGGGGAGCAGGCCGGGCCCGGGGTGCTCCCTGAGCACCAGGCCACAGGACTGGGGGTCCCCTTGCCTCGGCCTCCCCCCCACTTCTGTCCAAGGCAAACAGGCGAGGTCACCCCAGACCCCGGCACAGCGCCCTGCTGGCCTCCTCGTGCTGACCTCCGCCTTCTGAGGCCTCTTTCTGGGGACCGGGGTGCCCCCACCCCGAGATGACTAAGAAGGAGCAGGTTGGGGTTCAGGCCCAACTCGGTCCCTGATGACCCCAGTGAAAAGCCTCTGGGCTCTGACCCGGGCAGGAAAGGGGTGCTCGAACCCCAGACCAAGCCCAGAGCCCAGAGTCGGGGTTACATAGTGGGGAGGGGTTCAGGGGGAACCAGAGAGGGGTGCAGACCTGCCTGGTGGACGCAGGCAGATTTCAGGTCTGCAGGACCGGGGTGCGGGGTTGGGACGGGGCTGGGGGCGGCAGGCACCCCACAGACGCCCACATGCATCACACAGACAGAGGAGCGGATAAGCACATAAATAAAATGACAGACAGACAGACAGACAGATGCTTCTGCGACCTTCTTCCTGACCCTGAATGTCGTGGCCGGGTGCCAGGAGGACCGCGGTCCATGGCGCGGGTGGAAAGGGCCGGCGCGCAGACGCCCCAGGGGAGCGGTCCACGTCCTTCCCCGGCTCCCCAGAGCACTGGGCGCAAGGCCCGCACGTGCTCCCGGGAAAATGCATTCGGGGCTCGGGAGGCTGAGGCAGGAGGGTCTCGGGTTGCAGCCCAGGCCGGGCCGCTCAGCTGCCTAGCAAGACCCTGATTCAACAAAATAAAATACATAGAATAAAATGGGTGTGGATGGAGCTCAGCGCAAAAGCCTGGCGTGTCATCTGCAGTTTTAAACAACAATAATAATAAAATTAAATTATAGTAAATTTTAAAATCTGCATTACTAATAGTAATAATAATTGCTGCTGGGATCCTCTTCCCCGTCACCCGCGCGTGATCCCCAGCTGCACGGTGACCTGAGTGTGGGTTCCCCAAGCGAACCCCCAGGGTACGACATGCGCTCTGTGCACGTCCGGAAATCCTGGTCCGCAGGCCGGCGTGCAGGTTTGGGAGACACAGAGAGACAGAGACAGAGACACAGAAAGAGAGAGAGACAGAGACAGAGTGACTTCACACCTTGTCCCTGACCGAGAAGGGATCACTGAAGCCGGGTGAGGTGTGCAGACCTGAGATCAGGGTTGGGAGGCTGAGGCAGGAGGGTTCTCTCACCCACCGTCCAGGTCAGCAAAACAAACAGCTCGCTCAGCCCCCGGCGGCGTATCATCATTATTTATTATTTATTAGCATTATTATTCTTTATCTCCCGGGAGCTTTTTTCCCCCACAGCATTGAAGCCCAGATAAACTGGCTCTCTGGGTGCTGGATGCTGGGTGCTGGGTGCTGGGTGCTAGGTGCTCAGTACTGGGTGCTGGGTGCTGGGTGCTGGGTGAGGCAGGTGAGCTCGGGGCATGGAGTCTTTGGTGTCCCGGCGAGTGGACGGGTTGGAAAGTCCCCCTCCGTGCGGCGTCCCCCCGGGGGCACCCTCTGACCCCGGAGCAGGGTCCCGGGCTGGCCTCCTGCGCAGACGCCCCCTTCTCCGCCCGGCGTGCTCGGGGCAGCGGGCATCTTCCCGGGCTCCTGGGCCGCCTTTCCCCTGCTCCGGTCACCCGCGCGGCCTCCCTGTCCGCGTCCCCGCGGATGCCGCCCGGGAAGCCTGGCCAAGCGCTCGGTTCCTGGAAGGACAAGCTCTCTGGGCCTCTTGGAACCGAGCGCCGGGTTCACCCGGCTCCAGGGCCGCCCGGGCCAGCACTTCAGGAACGAGGCTGGACCGGGCAGCCACCAGGCGCTCTGCTGGTGAGCAGCGTGTCCAGGGCCGGCGGGCGCTGGGCAGTGACAGGGCGCTAGCCGGTCTCCGGGGTCACCTCCCGCTCGGGCTGGTTTCTGGTCACCGACCTGGTTCAGAACCGAGAGCGGGATCTTCCGTACGTTGGCTAAATTACGGTGCTGCCCGTGATGAAAACCAGCAAACAAAACTCCGTGCTTGGAACCAGGCGTGATGGTGCCCGCCTGTCATCGCAGGCCTCGGGAGGCTGAGGCGGGAGGATCTCTGGGCTGCACCGTGAGCTCCAGGCCGGCCTGGACCGCACAGCGAGACCCTGGCTCCGAAACAAACAAAAATGTTCACTTTGCTAGCAGTAGGCTGTCTTCAGAGATTCGGTACCATTCCAGCTGGGTGCTGTATTCCTAGTTCTTGAGTTTGTGGAGTCAGTCAACTTTGCTGTATTTATTATTATTATTTGTGGAGCTGATTTCAAACCCTGATCCGTGCCTTGTGCTGTCACAGGGCTGCGTTTCAGGCAGAGGCAGGGAACACACAGAAACTGATAGCTTGGACGGGCCGCAGCCCGTCCCCAGCCGGGGAAGAAGACGGCCTGCAGGTGGACACGGGCAGCTCACAGTCCCGGGATACTTTGGCTCCCCCTACAAACAAGTGCATTGAAAAGTCACTCAACAACCCTTCATTTCTAATATGTCGGACCGGAAGCCGGAAGCCGGAATCCAGAAATCGGCCGGGCTGGGAGCTTTGAAAACCGCCCACAAGTGGGGAAGGCCCCGGTCCATTCCTTTCAACGGCTTTGACACATCTGCCCTACAAATCTGTGTTTCTGTTTTATTTGGTGGATGGGGATGTGGACACGTACACAGTCAGAGGACATAAATCCGTGCCTTTGCTGTGTAGCCCGGGCTGGCCTTGCACCCGGAGATCCTCCTGCCTCAGCCTGCCGAGTGCTGGGATGACGGCCCGGTGGCCGGCTCCTCACACACACTTTGAGCGTTTGGGAGTGAGAGGCCGCTGCTCCGCGCCCCGGTGACCGGCCGCCGGCCGTGACGGGTTCCTGCAAACCGGCATCTCAGACGAGAACCTTTCAGCACAGAGAGGTCACACCGGGAGCTCACAGTCCCTCCCGGGCACAGGGAGGTCCACAACTCTCAGGTGATTCTGATTCTACATGCGAGTTACTTCCAGCATGACCCGCACGGAGCTGGGCTGGCGGGCAGGCCGGGCATCCCGCGGTCAGGAGGCCGAGGCGGGAGGGCGCCGGGGCCAAGCCAGCCGACGCGCCCAGCGGGAACCCGGCTCACAAATGCACAACAAATCCTCGCCTCCGGGCCGGCCGGGCACAGGCGCGGGGTTCAGGCCCGGCCGCCTCCTGCAACGGCAGGAGCTTCGGGGTTTTGGGGGCCAGGCTGGGGCTCGCGGGTAGCCCGGGTCACCCTGGTCCGGGGTGCGGGGCGGATCCGTGTCTGAGCACCGGGTCTGTGGATTCTGGGGGGTCCCGGAAAACTCAGGGGGGATCTGCCTGCCCTGCAGGGGAATCCTGGGGTGCAAATCAGAAGCACAGAAACACCAAGCTGGGGGCCCGACGCCGTGACCGTGTTCCCAGCACTCGGGGAGGCTGACGCGGGAGGATCTCGGGGCCCAGCCCGGGCACTCAGGGACCAGAAAGGACAATTCAGGGCGGCGGGTGGCTCAGCGTGGAG